GGAGGCTACCTTACAAATTACGCCATATCGACCCGTCAGTAGGGAGAATTGAAACTTTACCATAACAACAGAAATAATTGCAAAAAACTCATCCCCAACTACCAATAAATAGTGAAGTCGTTCTTTAAAGATGTTGCTTGACTGAAGTCTATTTATAAGGAATCAGCCACAATTATTTAGGCCCAGTTGGTCTTGTTAATAAGTTTGTAAATCAGTAAAGGCGTTATGTAAAGGCGTATATGTCGATATGTTTTTACAGATTATCAACCCTTTGCAACCTATTTAAAGTCAGAAAATGTTTTTAGACTGTAAGATTTTTTTTGAGATAATAATGTTTTACTAGTACAAGTCCTGTTAATTAGCCCATAGCTTGGGGGAGTTCAGAACTTCCCTAAAAGTATATGTGCGTAAGTGAATATATCGAACCCGACTGGAACTTAGCTCTCCAACTTCCATTTCCGAACTGTTCACTTATCGAATAAATAACTTTTATTTTATTGTCGTAAGGATTCAAGTGTTTCCAAATGGTTCGAACGCTGAATCAGCGGAACTGTAAACATTTGCGACAAAAAATACCAAACATTAAGATGAGAGAAATACTGGTGAACATTTAATAAGAACCGATTATGTTTCATCTAAGAAATTCAGATATTATTACTGTTACGGTTTTTTGGGTATATACGCCTATAACTAGTGAGCGAGTCAGAATGACTTATTTCCCTTTATAATCGACCAATGGAAGGTTGACCAATCCGAAGCCGCACAACACTGTATTCGTCGTGTATAAAGGCGGCCACCTTGTTTCCTCCTACCGGAAGGACCAAAGGCGACCAGGAGAAGGATGAACTACACTCTGCTGTGATATCCACTGCGAACCTCCACTACGCTTTCCTACTGTCTCCGAAATATTCACTGCCAACCTCTAGATTCTATACTCGAGGACGACCGTCATGAAAATGTCTAACAATTACATCTCATGCTACTAGTATAATATAACCAAAATGGCGACCTATTGACGTTCGGAGAATATTGATTGGATAAATTTTACTGGTTGTAATTTTAATCAGGAAGCCAGCTTTACAGATAGAGTAGGTTCGAATTTGTCACCTGTTAATTTTTTTTCTTGTATCTGCAGCTTCGAAGAAAAATAGGTCAATTCTTATTCACTGTCTTTGAGAAAAAAAAAGTCTTTTGTTATTGTCTGCTCCCTGTCTGTTCTTATTTTGTTTGAATACTAGAAGCAGCAGTCGTATGGAAGATGATCGTTGGTCAGATGAGTCGGATGAGCTCTTCACTAAATAACTAGAGGCAAAAAAAAAAGAGATGATTTACTGGAAAATGATATAACGTTTGATTCCAAAATGAAATTTCTAACGTTTGTGCATTTAAGATAAGAAATTAAATAGATTAAACTCAAGTAAAAAAAAAAAAAAATCCTAGGATACAGTTGCACCATTTTCAAAATAATTTTCACAGACATTAAGCTTCAAAGCCAAAATCCATTTCCAATGTTTACTTAAAAGGCCACGTGACATATAGTGAAAGCTGGAATTTTTTTTCCTTGCTTCTGATATGCGTTGAACAGCATTTGCAAAATCTAACTTACTCATACAAAAGGTCATATATCTTCCCTCACCCCCAATACGAACAGAATTCACTACAAATGAACGATATACGTTACAGTAATTTTCTAAGCGCTGCTTAGATGTGGCAAAAGGCCGGAAGTATGGAGTACCCAGTGAGGATCGAACTCACTACTCAGTCGTAATTGTTCTAGCGAGACACGCTTGCTAACCATTACACCACCTCGAGGTGTCCGAACGAGGTAGGTTATATCATAAAATAAAGTCAGTCTGACATCTTATATGTACCGTGTCCCTTCAGAATGTGGCCGATTATGGCTCTCCGCAGCTTCCTATCCTGAGTATCACTAAGTACTTTTTTTCTCTTTACTACCACTCCCAACATCTATTCCGGTATTTATTTCCTCAAAGTTATTAGACAGGTTCCCTCTGACCCTCTTACCTTCAATAGGCCCCTTTAGTGTCTAATTATCCAAACTCACATTCCACATTATCTGTCTGGGAGATTTCAAATGCTTAAGTGTCTTTTCCGTTTCTATTTTATTTATTCCTCGTTGCTCAGATGCATCGGCCATGGTATTCTCAGAATCCTTCTGTAAAACGACATTTCTGTTGCCTCACCTCTTCTCTTTAAGACTCCTGACCCGAAAAGCATATATAAATATAAGAAAACAATGATAAAAATTGTATAGTTACCCTAAAAATAAAATAAAAAATTGGAGAGAAATGACAATTACTTGTATTAATTCCTCCCTCCTCTCTCTCTCTCTTCTCTCTCTCTTTCTGTGTCTCTCTGTCTTCGCTCTATCGAGGCACTACGAATAAGACAAGAAACAAAAGACGTTATATATATATATATATATATATATATATATATATATATATATATATATATATATATATATATCGGGTAACTGCAGAATTGTGCAATTGTTATATCAAGCCTAAGAACCGTTGTTTCTTAGAAATGATTAAAGATATAGTACTGGAATTTTCAGAGATTTTTATAACACTAGTGGACTCTACTTTGAGCAATAAGAATGTATTTAGCGCTAAGTTGAAATGATAATCCCTCTTTTTATTGTGACCCCCTGATCCAGTCCTCTTTTTTAAACTTATTACTGTTCACTTGATCGTTCCTGAATATGGTATTTAAAGATGGGAGCCACATTATGAATGTTGGTGCCATTACTGGATGCCTGAATGAAGACAGCGGGCTGAAACAAAACGATTTTAACCCGTTCTTTTCTAGATGAAAAACTCAATGGGTTTTCCAGTGATTCTTATGACAAATGGTGTCAAGATGGCTAAATGTCTTATCTGCAAAACCTGAAAAGTAACTCAATTATATATATATATATATATATATATATATATATATATATATATATATATATATATATAGTTTATGAAAAACTAGGTAATCCGTATGGGTAAACATAAGAGGATAAAAATCTTGAGAGCTCAATGTAAATCCAGAGCAAATAATTTAAATAAAAACAGACCACTTTAAGGTTCCATGTAATAAATTATTTCACCACAGCCCTTTTAAAGGACTCCCGATCATCAGACTTTACTTCCAAACAAAAAATGAAAAGAAAATTTACACCTGTAAATTTTACACCTGTAAATTTTCTTTTCATTTTATTACATGGAACCTTAAAGTGGTCTGTTTTTATTTAAATATATATATATATATATATATATATATATATATATATATATATATATAAGGTTGAAATTCTTTATCCGAAATTATTGAGACCAAATGTGATTCGGTTTTCAGATTTTTTAGAATTTTGAAATATAGGCTATTTAAATTGTATATAGCGTCTATAAATTAGGGCAGGTTGAGAATAGAATACAAACACAAATACGATATTCCTTTACATTTCATAACACAGCTTAACCGTATACAGATAGTTTTATATAAATAACATATAAATTAAAAGTATTTTTATATGAAACTTAAATAAATACATACAGATACAGGTAATGACGCTAGTCATGTAATGCTCACATGGGGTCAGAAGTGGTGAAATTTTGTGCTTCCCTTTCCTTTACGAAAACTCACGACTTCTGCTTACATAGGGATGGCTGGAAGAACTTAATATATATAGATTTTAAGACTTTTCAATGGAATTTCTTTTCAGCCATTTCAACCAAAGCAAGGCAATAAAGATTTGAGGTAATATGAGAAAAAGAAAATATTATAAAGAAGATAGAAAAGTAGTTAAAAAGACTGACGATGACAAGTAACTCGACGTTTAAGATATTTGAAAATCAAAGATAACTGGAAAGCAAGAAAACGGAAGAGAGTTTCACAAGCGAGAAGTGCGAGAGAAGAAACTGTTAATGCAGAACCTCCGGTTGTATCTACGCAATTCAGCTGTAAAATGATGAGACCATACCGCCAATATAGTACTGAGTTTAAATTCGTAAAGTCCAGGTACGAAAGAGGAACTTAATATTTATTTTGTAAAGATACAAAAATGTGGCACAAGGCCAAAAGTAGGAATTGGGGAAAGATTCGTCTTCTTCTTATAATTAATTAGTTTGTTTGTTTTGTTTTACGGCATATCAACCATAATGATTTAATTAATGCCGGCAAAAATTTTACTGTTAGTAATATTTTTCTCTTCAAAAATTTATTTCTGGTAATATTTTTCCTCTTCAAAAATCAATTTCTGGTAATAATCTTCCTTCAAATATGTAACCATGGTAATATTTTTTTTTTTCAAAAATGTATTGCTGGCAATATTTTTTCAAAAATGTATTTCTGGTAATATTTTTTCGGGTATTAAAAGTATTTCGGGTATTAAAACCTATTTTTACACTTTCGTAGTGTTTTGACTCGAGTTTGGGGGTTAACTATTTGCCCATAGCTGGGATCCTGAGAGGTGCTACCACCCTGGGTCAGAGTGAACCTGAGAACACCAGCAATTAAGTGGTGGTTCCACGTTCCTCAAAACCTCCTGATCAGAGGCCTTGCTGTTGGACGTAGTTTATCGTCTTACCCAGGAGGCGGATGTAGTTTATTGTCTTACCCAGGACGCGGATGTAGTTTATTGTCTTACCCAGGACGCGGATGTAGCTTATAGTCTTACTCAGGACGCCTTATCATTAAACCTAGCTAGCCACAATTACTAACCCAAACATACCACAGTATTCATTACACCAAAGCAACACATTCTTACTAATCATTCTTACTACATTCACCATAATACCACCAAGTCTCTATGACGTCCTAACTAGATCCTATATGTACATTTTTTATCTGTTGGGGAGGGGAATACAAACAACATTTTAAAAATACCTAACCCCAATATGTATTTACAGGTCAGGACCAATAACATTGCAGGTTCTTCTTTGTATTTGATCTGGAATCTCTAAATACATAGCAGAAACGCCATACCAGATTTGACAGGCATGTTCTATGTCATTCTACCTATATAGTCAGTGTTACGCTGACAATTAAAATGGTAACTAATATGATGCGAAGGTACAACCAATTTTCGGATAGATTTTAATATTGTTAGAAACAATTATCCTTATTTCAGACAAAATAAATATAACGAATTCTTTAAACGGCTAGTTTCACCATTTTCGAAGATCTGAAATTACAAGATATGAATTTTTAAGGACTTAGTTACAGACAGACAAATCTAACATTAAGAAGTAAAATTCGAAGGAGAGAGAAAAGTATTCGCATTACAAGACGACATATTAAATTTGGCAAAAGCTGAGTCTCATACCGAGTGTCAGGTCACGTTGCCGGGAGAAATAAGCTTCTCTCTCTTTCCATATATATATATATATATATATATATATATATATGTATATGTATGTATGTATGTATGTATGTATGTATGTATGTATGTGTGTGTGTTTATCAAGTTCTAATAAATGTGGGTAGGCGATAGTCCTATCAAACAGCGTCATAAGAACACGAGGCGGGAAATGTCTCTTCCAGTGGTACATTCTAAGTGTAGTACTTTCCATATCCCGCGGCGGGCTGCACTAACGAAATAGGAATGGGAACCCCGAACAGTTTTCCCTGCACACCACCGCCACGGCGACTGCCTGTCAACATGACCAGAAGAGCAAGGCCTCTGGATAATTTGAGCGGATTACGACGGCTAATGCAAGCAATCATAATAATTTACAGACTTCGCATTTATCTTTTCTCTCTTTCTCTCTCTCTCTCTTTCTCTCTCTCTCTTTCTCTGTCGCTATCTCTGTTTACTGTTTATATTAGCAAAAGCAAGGTTACGCGGTACTGAGTGTGCTGAAATATCACAACTATTCGTGTATAAGTCGACCCTGTGTAGAAGTTGAACCATGATTTTTAGCAAGAAATCGTTATGAAATATTTCGTTTTATTAGTCGATTCCAGTTTTTTTTTTGTTAGAATTCCATTAGTGTTCTGAGAGCCGTAAACACGTAAGCATCGTGCTGCAAAGACAAATTCTCCAGCAATTATAATTTTACTAAATATTTGCATTCAGTTATTCCTTGAAGACTCTTAGAATAGAATACTGAAGACCCTTATTATATTGAAGATATTTATAAGATATTATATTGATGACTATTTGGAACGGAAAATAACTCTTGTTGTCCTAGGTACTTTGACCCTTGAGGATGTAGACGATCATAATCCCATCTCTCGTGATCCTCGGGATATTGCAGACACTTGGGAAAGGATAGTATTATATTGAAGGCACTTGTGATAGGATATTTAAAACACTTCTTCTAGGCCGTGTCTTTTCAGAATGTGGACGACCATGGCTTTCTACATCTTCCTAACCATCGTGGCCCTTAGATGCTTTTGCCAAGTTTAATGCTCCCACCCCGTTTATCGACTCACACAAGATTGTCGGTAGATGGACCACTACCTTTCTCTATTATATCTTACCCTCGATATGTCCAGTGGGAGTTAAGGTTTCTCAGCCATCTTTTCATATTTTGTGTTCAAGAAATTTCATTTATCTCTTCTGAATACCGACTGATCTTTTTGTTACCATTTTCTTTAAGACTTCCTCGTCGTTTACTCGTTTCGCTCATGGAATTCTCAGTATCCTTCTGTAGAATCACATTTCCGTTGACGCCAGTCGCCTCATCATCTTTTGTTTTGATTGTCCAACATTCACTACCATACAAGAGGATTGAGATTGCATTGCAGTTCAGTATTCGTTTCTTTGTTTTTAACAAAATTTTCCTTTTCTATACTTTGTTTAGCTTTTGGAAGGCATCTTTCATTAATCCGATGCGCGTTATGAGTTCGGCGTTGTACTCTCCGTCCTCTGTCAAAACACTTCCTAGGTATTTAAAATTGTCTCCTTGTTGGATACTGGCATCTCCAATTCATCGTTCCCATCTTGGGCTGTTTCTCTTGTGACAACCATATTTTTTGCCTTCTAACAGCTGAGGGTAAATCAATTGCCTCGCTTTCCTAAGGTCTAGAATCTGAAATGCATCCTCCAAAAGTGGGGTTAATCAAGCACTAATGCATTATGGGAATATAAATATCGTCATTAAAACAATCAAACAGAGGAAACTCATTTGGACCTATCATGGCGAAAGTATTAATGAATATTATATTAAGTGGTTTCTTATTGTTTTATGAAACTCTTTACAACTCAGTTTGGTTTTCGTTCTGGCAAGGGATGCAATGATGGCATATATGTCGTCAAATAACTCCTACAAAATGTACACCTGGTACGCCGACTTCACGGCAGCATACAACATCAATAGAGTTTTTTTTTTCTTCTCATGCATTAGAAACGCCTTCGAATCCACTGAATGCATCAATCAAATAGTGGAACTTTATCAATCTACAGACTCTTGGTGAGGCCCCCAACACGGAAACATTTCAAACTTTATCAAAAGTACAAGAAAGAAATGAGAACCCCAGTTTATTTAACTGTTCCTAGACTGTGCATTTACAAGCACAAATGTGAAGAGATGGACCCACATCTCAAACAAATCTACCAATAGAAAACAACGATCTTGCTTTCCCTCCCGAGGTCAATGTACCGATAATGAGGTGGGTATGCTGATGATATAGGTTGAGATATGTATTATCTTCACCTGAAAATCTATCAAGTATCCCAAGAAATAGGACTCAAGCTAAACCTTTCCAAAAGAAAAACTCTGACCTAGAAGTCAAATAAAATCAGTGATACCATCTACAATTTACGCCACATCTCTCCTTTTCATGCCGCCACACCTGTATTCTCCCAATACAAAGCTGGGGAAAACATCTAACACGCTGACGGTATTATTAATGCCATACACTTTCATACCGTAGATGATTATGACAATCCACCGATTTCCTTTTCTTATATGCATCACTGTCCCGCTTAGTTCTGATCAATTTTGACACTCGTAAACTAAATATTTATGGCCATATGGTAAAAGGAATGATACCTAATAACCAGATTACTTGATTATTTTGAGCTTAAACCGAATTCTTTGCCATTCTTGCAAATGTTCTTCAAGGATAGTTTCATTATTGAGTGTGAAGACTTCAGTGAAGAGAGAAAAATCAAAGAACAAGTTTAAGGAAAACAGAAGATATCGATTGGCGTTGCATTTAAGTTTCTAAAGATTGTAGATGGCAGAGAAGTAAGAAATCAGAAAGGAATTCTGCAGGAGAGAAGTACGAGAAAAGAAACAATTAGAATAGAACATGCGGTTGTACCTAGTTAATTCAACTGTAAAACAGTGACACCTATTTGCCAATTTAATTGCACGCATAAATTTATGCAGTCACCAGAACAATTGTCATGAAAATATTTGTAGAGAAGGTCAAAGCAAGTCGGTGAGAAAGTGACTGAAATCAAGATATCAGAACAAGATCGATTACATACTTCATAGACAACAATACTCAAGTCAGCACAGAAAGTTGCCTTGAATGTATTATGGAATCAGAAAGTTTTCCCTTAAGATCCACACACATACAAAAGAATGATAACTGGATTGACCTGGAAACGAATTGAAACGAGTGATGGCACAAACAGTGACTCGATCAGAAAAATGTCAATTGAATCCATCATAGTGAAAGTATTGAACATTATATTGACAAGGCGAGCGTCATTCTATGAAAGTTATCTCCTCCCAATCCAGTTTAGTTTTCATTCTGGCTAGAGATATAATGATGGCATATATATCCTCAAACAACCCCAACAAGTTGTTTGCCTCTAAAATAGGATACTATATACCTGCTTTATTGAACTCACGGCAGCATATGGCCAATAGAGAGATCCTCTTCACATCTATTCAAACTGAATTCACTGAATGAATCGATCTAATAGAAAAACAGTATTAATCTAGAGAATCTTAAATGCTTGTCAAAGCTCCAAATACGGAAACATTTCAAACCTCATCAGAATTATTTCAAGTTGGAAATGAGAGCCTCAGTTTATTTAATCTCTTCCTAGACTGAGCATTTACAAGCACAGATGTGAAGAGATGGACACTTACCATTTAAGCATTCCATAACACATCCTAAACGAATCTACCAATAGAAGACAGCGATCCTGCTTTCCCTGTCGAGGCCAATGTACTGATAGTAAGGAGATCTATGCTGAGGATATATTTACTCATATTTGGAATAAGACTGGTCTTGAACAGAAAATCAACATCCTCTACTAAAAGTTCCAAGACATAAATCTTTCCAAAAGAGAAACTATGATCTGGAATTGGAATGAAATCAGTGTTGGCACAAACAGTGAATTCATCAGAAGAATTCAGGATGTGGAATTACTGAAGAGTGGACAATTACATTACCTGAGCGTATGGATCAGTTATAATAAATTTAGTATAGGAAGAAATGAAATTGAATATAGACTTAAACACCACAAGTTGCTACGAAACCAAAACATTAACCTGAAAACTCGAGCCATGTTCTTAAATAGCTTCGTCCGATCGAGACATTCGTGTGGATGTCATGCATGATGTTAAATCTGTTCAGAAACAACTAAACTGTCAGAAGTACTAAAGAAAAAGAGTGCTACCGACAGGAATCGAAGATGCATCACTTTTTTCCATCAAGTGGACATCTTTTTTGAGCCCAGGTATGCCGCTATCAGTTCGGAGACGAAGCCAGCCTGACAAGTCCAGGTCTGAATTTACCTGCGAACGAAAGCAAGTTACTTGTTGAAAGTTTTTCAGCGTTAAAATTAATTCATATCTGTATCTCCCTCGGATTGCATAACAAAGTGTGGGATAAAAAGAAAAAGAACATAGAATTGACTGCACCGGAAGTGGGGACAGAGTTAGGTGCAAATTACAATAAAACTAAAACATAAACCAGAAAACTCGAGCCATGTTCGTAAATAGCCTCGTCAGATTGAGACATTCGTGTGGATGACATGCATGGTGTCAAATCCGTTCAGAAATATTTAAACTCAAAGCTGTATAAAACCGCATTCTCTGATCAATGGCTAAAAAAACGGCTTTCAGCGAGTGAAGCCTGAGGGTTTCGGCAAAAATTATCCTTCTTTGAACATTGTGGACTGGCAATACAGAATCACCAACAAGGAAATGTATCAAATAACAGAGACCACATCACCTGAGGACTACCAACAGCAGCAACAACTAAAATGGAAAGATAAAAGAGAAAATACTAATATAATCAAGATGTCAACGTTCCACATTATTTCAAATAAAATGTTAGAAAGGAAGCTATTGGACGTGAAAAATCTATTTTCCCGAAAAATTGTTTTAAGAGAAAGATTTTATAAACTTCAACCGAAAGCAGTACTGGCTGCTCGGTCAATGAAAACTAAATATTTCCTTATAGGGAAACGGCTAATACTACTATTTCCATTTACTAGATTCTCTGGGAGGTCCTGTAGATTTGTTTTTTTTTTCTTTTCAGTGTTTGCCTTCAATACAGTTCCATCTGTACATTGTTAAGAATGCGAGACCCCGCCACCGTACCCATAATAATCCTGGTATTATCTCCAGTTCCCTGAGGATAGTTCTTTTTTTTGTAGTAGTTGAAAAGATCTATAGTAAGGGACACATCCTTGTCTTACGCCTCTTTCTATTTTTGTGTACCTATTCAATTCTTGTTCTATCTGTACGAATGCCATTTTTAACCATTTTAAGTTCTGGATAATTTTAACAGCCTTTCCGAATAGATCAATTTCGAAAGATAATAAAATATGTACTCAAATAACTAGCGCTTTTACCATATGTTTTTGCGTATCCTGAAACTTATGTAGGATATTATTATTATGTTGAATACACTTACGGTACGATTTTATTATAACAAAAAATTGTTTTTTAAACTGATATTTTCATTATTTTTAACTTAAATATTTTTTAGTTTATTCCCTACATTCCATTCTATTCAGTTTGTGCCCCACCCACATCACCAAAAGATATTCAATTTATACGTGACTCTCTCTTACTGTCATATTTTACAAAAATATTTGATTTTAAAATTTGGACTTAAATGATATTGTTTGATATCGTACTTTTAACCGCCATTATTTAACAAATCAATTATTTAAATATCGCTGCGAGGCTCGAAACTGACAACACTATGTTTAACATCGAGAATGTTTAACATCAAAAAACATAAGGAAAATTAATTCATTTTAATAATATGTGGAAATATCCATTCTTTGCCTGAAGAAGGTCGCGAGACCCGAAACGCGTGTTACAAAATTATGAAAAATAATGCATAATATATATATTTTTAGAAAAATGTCCATATTACAACCAAAAATGTTTGCGGTTTCTCTCTTCTTTTTTTATATATATATATATATATATATATATATATATATATATATATGTTGTAATGTGGATATTTTTTAAATATATATTTGTTATGACTCTATCCAAAATATAGGAGAAAGTCAGAAGATGGAATTCATATCGGCAAAATTAAATGAGACTGTTTCTTGCTCAAGGTTGAGCAAGAAATCACCAACAAGTGGGTTGGATCTTACAATACATATTTGTTGCAACAATTCATCTGTCATATCAATGTTGAAATCTGCTCATCAATTCATTCAATCAATATTGCATCAAATGCATATCAAAGGGGTCAGTTCAAGCGTTCTTCTTGTTATTTTTCTATTTGATTTAATTTACATTTGAGCAAAGGAAAAACCCCTATCCAAAATATAGGAGAAAATCAGAAGATGGAGGTCACATCGGCAAGATCATTGAGTAATATTGAAATGCATCACTTTTCTGCACAGATAAAAATAAATCATCATTTTCTTACAAAAAATGTGTGACACGTAGCAAGATGCGGGTAATTCGGCTAGTGTAAATATAAAAGGGGACACTGTTTCATGCTTGGGTGCAATGTACGTACCCTGAAGTTGGCGTTCCAGCATGAAACCGACTGTTTCCTCTCGGGGTTGACCTCAGTATCTACCTTTATATACACTCTCTCTCTCTTTCTCTCTCTCTCTCTCTCTCTCTCTCTGCCTTACTCGCTTTCCCCCCTCTTCTTTTCGCTGTATCTCCACCTCTTTCATTCACTTTCTGCTTTTTTATTTCTCTCTCTTTTTCCTTCATCATTCCTCCTCTTCCTTCCATTCATTTTCTCTTCCAACCTTTCTTCCGATTTTTTGTTCTTTTTTCCCATTCCTAACTCTGTCCCCACTATTCTTCCATTCGTCACTCTCTATTGCAATCTCTCCACCTCTCCTCTCTCTCTCTCTCTCTCTCTCTCTCTCGTTCTCACCTTTCTTTTTTTTCTCCCTCACTTCTTCACTCTGCTTCTTTTCCATATCTCTTTCTTTGCGTAACTCTCTCACTTCTTTTTTTTTCTTTCCATCTGCTTCTTTCTTCCATTCACACTCAACTTTCTCTTTCTCTCTTTCCTTTTCTAACTCTTTCTCTCTCTCTCTCCTTTTCTTATATATTTGTCTCAATTTGCTATAAATATCTGTCGTGTGCTGATTTGGCTCGAAATTGATGACTCTGTCAAAATCATCCAAATGTCGTATTTGCATTTTGCCAGCCTGCAAATAGCATGAGTAGTAACACAAAAAAATACATCTTTCATTTTTATCAATAAATCAAAATTTTCAATATAATTTTATACTTACTCCCCAAGATTACTTTTATGACTGACTGCTAAGAAAAGCTGAATATCATCTCTCTCTCTCTCTCTCTCTCTCTCTCTGTGTGTATATATATATATATATATATATATATATATATATATATTATATATAAAATATAAGATTTAAGAAAACAACAGATATTTTAGATATAGATAAATAATATTAAGAATAAAATGTTAGTAATATTATATGAAAAGATTACTTAACTTTTATATATCAATTTTATCCCGACTTCGAAATTTCTTGGTAAAATTTCCAGTCTTCAGGAGGTTCGCATTTGCATTTGGTGACCATCTGTCAGTAACTAGGTCCCAAGGCATGCAACCACGGTTTTCTACCAGGATGTTTTTAACCTCTTGACCCAAGACAGCACTACCTCCTCAAGGCACTTGATGTAAGCCTCCATGTTCAGCCTGAAGCCTTGTCGGAAGATGAATAGTGGCATAATCTCGCCATCACTAGTGATCACGCCAAACAATTTCGTAATCACCATTAGACTCATCCAACTCTTTCCGAATCTTCTGCCCTGTTATCAGATTGACATACAAACACTTTGAAATGGACGTATTGGAGTTCCGACGCGAATATGAAGCAGAACAGGGTGCCGTTTTCAAATTTCTGACATAGTGAATTGCATCATGTTGCTACTTTTTCTCACAGACGGTGGCCAACTGACACTAATATATTTTGCAGTAGACAAAATCGGTATGTAATATTCAAATCTTCAATATGTTGAATTCTTTAATACCATTTCTGCTATAAATATATTTGGTACTCTATGCCCTTTTTTACAATCCAATATACTTGCATTTTAATATGAAGTTGTTCTCATTATTATTATTATTATTATTATTATTATTATTATTATTATTACTTTTATTTTCTTTGATTTCTGGCATTTACACATTTCTTTCCGGGTCCCGCCCAGGGACCTAAGGTTAGAAATGGCATCATGACACTTTCCACTGACAAAAAAAAAAAAAAAAAAAAAAATTAAATTACATAGATAAAGCCCTTCGTAAGGTGTGGGCTGTACTTGTCAGAACAATTTTTTGTATCTCCTTGAGGCAGGGACTTCCAGAAATCCCTTCAATTAGTCTACTGAAATCTTTTCCAACCAGTCCTAGGGCTCCAACTACAACAGGGATTGTTGATGTTCCCATATGCCGCATTTTCGAGATTTCTATTTCAAGGTCCTTGTATTATTATTATTATTATTATTATTATTATTATTATTCGAACAAACACTTCTTGTATCGGAACAGAAATTAAAATTTAAAAATGAATAACAAAACTTCAAGATGCAATTAATCGTATCGAGAAACAATATAAAAGGAAAAGGGCAAAGAAATATTTACCCATAAATAAAAAATTATTGATATATTTTCTATATGCCTTTCAAAGATTCCATGAAGGGGTTGATAATCTAAAAGTTTGGGAACAGCTGCTCTCAACTGTTTAATAACTATACAATAAGAGTCACTATTTCATGTTCTTTTTTTATTGAGAGTGTGTGTTCGCTTGACTCATTTCTTTTCTTTCAAATTCCCTTAATCTCTTGAATAAAGTCTTCAGGATTTATACCATAAAACACTGACTCCTGAGTAAGACGATGAGCTACATATGGCAGCAAGGCCTTTAATCCGGAGATTGGAGGTTTTGAAGAGCGTGGAACTACATCTTAACTGCTGATCCGGAGTGGTAGCACCTGTTAGGTTCCCAGCTATAGGCAAATAGTTAACTCCCAAATAAAAATCAACAGTACATTTTTATAATGAAATGATCAATAACACATCGTTATAGCAAAATGACAATCAATGCGACACTAAAAATATAAAAATACATTTTTATAGTAAAATTACCAACAATACATTTTCTGATGTACAGACTATATATCTAAAACAACATAACTGTATAAAGAATAAAATTGTATATAAAATATCTGTAGTTGAAAGCACAAAATTACATACAAAATATGTAGACTTCGACATTCATGGTAAATAATACAGTGAAAATTTTAGGTGACTTATTTGCAATGGCGATGCATCCATGTATTATATACATTCGACTATTTTGCGGGGTAAATAATTTTTGTGTAATAAAAAATTCATTATTGTTTTATTATCCTCCTTGAATGGGTTGATTATTTTTAAACCCCGATTTCTTCTTTTCTTAGAATAAATTGTGAATATGCGTTATTAGTAAAATGGCGTAAGCAGAGAAGGCCCCGGCTTCTGAATAACAATCCCACCTCTTTTCATTGCGGAGTCACAGAAGAGCTGTGAAAGAAGGTTGATCAGTGAAGGTCGTGAAGGGTGAGAAAAGAAGTAAGAAAAAAAAAGTAAGGTACTTCCTTTAGCTATTCCCTCATTCCCATTAATAAAGACCTTTTGGAAAAGACGACAACAGTTGCGCGTGGTACTAATACTTTCCGAAACAATGAATTTTGCAAAAAGAAACAAAGAATTGAATTTGTTGACAAATAAATAAGTCTTAAATATGTTATTATTTGTTGATTTTATTATTCTCTCTGGTGACCATTAACGGTCATCAAAGACTACATGCCTCGCTTTCGCCAATGCGTATTTGGTATTTATAAAACCTGTAATAGAGACAAACACTAACTCAGACCGAATGCTTAAAAGAATGGAAAAAGTCAGACCTTGTAAAGTAAGTATTCTGTCTACCCACTTTTTTTTATTCTGATATTGTTATCTTTGAATTTAACACGGCCAGTGTTTGTTTATTAGTCCGACATAGTGTAAGCAACCACTTTTCACAAAACTCGTCTGATTACACGTGTTGTATCAACGTTGAGTGTCAAAAATTTAAACAACTATTAGAAGGCAGTTGGGAAAATACACAAATGGTAACTTGTCGAGTCGAATCCCTTGGGGGTAAATGCACACATACACACACACAAGCGCGAGCATACACATACATACCTATACACACATACATACATACATGCATACATACACGCACAGAGAGACACGGAGAATTGCTATGGAAAAATAATTCCTAGAATGTGAAACACAATGTTTTAGTTGTTTTACACACACACACACACACACACACACACACATATATATATATATATATATATATATATATATATATATATATATTTAAATCATTTCATCCCAACAAAGGTTATAAAGCTACTAAGATGCAAAATGTTACTGAGTGTTTGAGAATATACGAAAAAAAACTATCATTGAGAGAAAACAATAATAGACAAATACATATTCTATTCATACGAACCTATCCTAAAAATCTTGTCGGCATTTAATTTAGGTTGATATGCTGTAAAACAAAATAAACCAAACCAAACTGATTTCTTACAAAGAATACATATTCTGTTCATACGAAACCATCCTAAAAATCTTGTCGGCATTAAATAACCCATTGAGATGATGATAAGAATTAAGAATAGAGAAGATAACGATTGACATTGCATTTAATTTTTTGAAGATTAATGTTGACCTGGATTCCAGAAGTCAGAAGAGAGTTCCACAAGCGAGAAGTGTGAAAGAAATTGTTAATCACTGCGGATAATTTCTAAATATACTTAATTCTCATAAAAGAAAAATTGTAAGAATACTAGAAAAGATTAATAATTTTTTTTTTAATTCTCCTCCTCCGTTACATTCGACATGCATAAAATGACTGCTCTTGAAATTATACTCACACACACGTAGATAGATAGATAGATAGATAGATAGATAGATAGATAGATAGATAGATAGATACGAGGCTCGTTCAAATTTTCTAAGCCTTGTCCAGAAAAAAAAGCCATAGCTGAATATTTTTGTTGTGGCAACACACTAATGCCTCTTATAAAACTAGAAAAACTAATTCAAATTTGTGTCTTAATTTCTGTGGAGGTAAAGTTCATACAAAGGTGAGAGGTGTGCGACAATCATAAAATATCTGCGAAAGAAAGGTATGACACCATGGGAAATCTATAAGGACGAGGTACAGACACTTGCTGAGGCACTCCTTTTCCTATATAACTGTGAGGAAATGGACTGTGGAATACAAGCAGGCCAGGGAAAACACAGAAGATGGCGCTCGTTCATGTTGTCCATAATCCACAATCATTGATAAACAAGTTGATGTCATTCACCGTATGGCTTTCGATTACTGACGTGTTACTGTCCGGCAGATGGGCATTAGTTCTGGTTCGATCCATACTGTTCTAACTTACATATTCGGAATGAGCTATCTGTCTGCAAGATGGGTCCCACGAATGCTGACACCAGATCAGAAACTGAAAATGACTGAGATTTCCAAGATACTTCTGACTCGCTTCCAGTCTGCCGCTGAGAATTTGCACCGCAGATTATTAACTCAAGATGAAACCTGGGCACGCCACTTCGAACATGAATCAAATCAAAGTGAAAACACCCTGGTTCTCCACCCCGAAGAAGTTCAAGCAGACAGTGAAAGAAGTGATAGATTCTGTTTTCGGGAAGGTGCAATCATGACAGACTACCTGTAAAAGGAAAAACAATGAATGGACAGTACTATGCATAAGCATTAAGAGAAATGACGGAAGCAATCAAGTCGAAACGCAGAGGGAAGATGAGGGTAGGTGTGCTCTTGCTCCAAGATAACGAACCCGTCCGCAGTAGCCTAACCAGACAACCGTGGCTTTTAATTGCTACCTCATACCCCTTATTCACGAAATTTAGCTCCAACTTTTTTCCTCTTTCCTTAAATCCGACATGCGCGATCTACATTTTAGAAACAATATGTGCCAGGGAGGATTCTCTGGGGGAACAGGACGCCATCTTCTTCTGTGATGGGATT